TATTAATAGATTCTCTTATACCCTGTATTAATAGATTCTCTTATACCCTGTATTAATAGATTCTCTTATACCCTGTATTAACAGATTCTCTTATACCCTGTATTAACAGATTCTTTTATATCCTGTATTAACAGATTCTCTTATACACTGTATTAACAGATTCTCTTATACCCTGTATTAATAGATTCTCTTATACCCTGTATTAATAGATTCTCTTATACCCTGTATTAACAGATTCTCTTATACCCTGTATTAATAGATTCTCTTATACCCTGTATTAAGAGATTCTCTTATACCCTGTATTAACAGATTCTCTTATACCCTGTATTAATAGATTCTCTTATACCCTGTATTAACAGATTCTCTTATACCCTGTATTAACAGATTCTCCTATACCCTGTTTTAACAGATTCTCTTATACCCTGTATTAATAGATTCTCTTATACCCTGTATTAATAGATTCTTTTATACCCTGTATTAATAGATTCTCTTATACCCTGTATTAATAGATTCTCTTATACCCTGTATTAACAGATTCTCTTATACCCTGTATTAATAGATTCTCTTATACCCTGTATTAATAGATTCTCTTATACCCTGTATTAATAGATTCTCTTATACCCTGTATTAATAGATTCTTTTATACCCTGTATTAATAGATTCTCTTATACCCTGTATTAATAGATTCTCTTATACCCTGTATTAATAGATTCTCTTATACCCTGTATTAATAGATTCTCTTATACCCTGTATTAATAGATTCTCTTATACCCTGTATTAACAGATTCTTTTATATCCTGTATTAACAGATTCTCTTATACCCTGTATTAACAGATTCTCTTATACCCTGTATTAATAGATTCTCTTATACCCTGTATTAATAGATTCTCTTATACCCTGTATTAATAGATTCTCTTATACCCTGTATTAACAGATTCTCTTATACCCTGTATTAATATATTAATAGATTCTCTTATACCCTGTATTAATAGATTCTTTGTCTCTGTTCCCGTACAAGCTTCGCTTACGTGCTCCGTACTCAGCTATTGATTCAGTCATTGTTTGGTGGGCATTCTAGAAGTTGGTGACTCAAAAATGAAACGTACAACTTTATGGACGACAACTTCTTGCAATAAATAAGAAGTTGTCAACCATAAAGTTGTATGTTTCATATTTGATTCAGCCATCTCCAAGCACACTGGTTGGCATTACCGACTCCACGAACGATGAGTCAGTATTCATTATGAATGTCTACGGCAGACAAATACTACAGTCTCTAGGGACGGCAGACAAATACTACAGTCTCTAGGGACGGCAGACAAATACTACAGTCTCTAGGGACGGCAGACAAATACTACAGTCTCTAGGGACGGCAGACAAATACTACAGTCTCTAGGGACGGCAGACAAATACTACAGTCTCTAGGGACGGCAGACAAACACTACAGTCTCTAGGGACGGCAGACAAACACTACAGTCTCTAGGGACGGCAGACAAACACTACAGTCTCTAGGGACGGCAGACAAACACTACAGTCTCTAGGGACGGCAGACAAACACTACAGTCTCTAGGGACGGCAGACAAACACTACAGTCTCTAGGGACGGCAGACAAACACTACAGTCTCTAGGGACGGCAGACAAACACTACAGTCTCTAGGGACGGCAGACAAACACTACAGTCTCTAGGGACGGCAGACAAATACTACAGTCTCTAGGGACGGCAGACAAATACTACAGTCTCTAGGGACGGCAGACAAATACTACAGTCTCTAGGGACGGCAGACAAATACTACAGTCTCTAGGGACGGCAGACAAACACTACAGTCTCTAGGGACGGCAGAAACACTACAGTCTCTAGGACGGGCAAACACTACAGTCTCTAGGGACGGCAGACAAACACTACAGTCTCTAGGGACGGCAGACAAACACTACAGTCTCTAGGGACGGCAGACAAACACTACAGTCTCTAGGGACGGCAGACAAATACTACAGTCTCTAGGGTGTAGGTCGAGGTTACCCGTACCAAAAGTTTCTTTATGTGCTCACCTAAGTTGCCATATGAAACAATTGTCTTCAGAGCTCGCGTGCTTGCCGTCGTTTCACCAGGGAAAGTAACTAGAATAGGTCTTCATCAACCGCTTGTCGAAAGAGGCGATTCCCGGGATCAGGTGGTCAGGCTTGCTGACATGGTTGTCACACGTAATCGCATGCCATTTAATAGATCGATGCTCATGCTGTTGATCACTAGACTTCCTTTGGCCCGACTCTATTATTTACAGGCCGAAGCCACATAACTGCATTATTGCTCAGTGCGGTGTTAAGCAAATAAATAATCAATCAAAAACCCATCGGGTTTGGGAGGAAAGATGTTCCATGAACTTATTTCTCTCATTTTCACTGGCCTTACTCTGATCTGAGCGAATCTATTGTATTTGGTGAGTTCTGACAATGCAGGACGAAATTCTATCTTAGATATCTCACCAACTGTTGTGGTGTTGAGATCATCAATGCTAAAGAGAAACATATATTTCAACAGGCCATTATATGTTGGATAGAGTATTCTTGACTTGCTGAATCACTGAATGTATGACTACAATCAAGGTGAGATGCCATATCGTATAAAACAGATGTAATAGGATGTTGGCATATTATGTACAAGCGTGTTTGCGCACCAGTTTAATTTAGAGTCAACCACAGTTCCAAGAAATCTGTTTATTATACAGACTGGCCTGAGACCGACTCATTTGTCTTGATTATAGAGCAATCCGGATTAGACAACCTTTGTCCGTTACCGTAGACACTGACCTTTTCATCTCTAATTTGTTTTTGCTACCCCAACAGAGGTGACGGAGATGTTTATTCAACAAACTGTTATTTCAGTCAGCTACGTCCGGATTACAAAGCATTGTTCTCACAGCAAATTGATTGTCCGGGCTGCTATTTTAGTCCGTAATTCGTAATTGAGAGAGCCTGGATTGTAAAGCAAGCTTTAATGATAGATTAGGAACCATTTTGCCGGGATTCAGAGAGTAGCCCGGATTATGGAAAAATACGGTTTACAAAGAGTCCGGATTTGACAGATTCCACTAGTACTTGTATACTAGAAGTCTATTTCAACCACTGCATTGTCACTGACAAAAGGATCAATAGTCTCTTTTTTTGTTTTAAAGTAAAAATTTATTGCTTTTGTTTTGATGACGTTTAGCAGTAATGGCCTAAAGACAAATCTATGATACAGTGAATTGCACAATAAAGCGAAAGCGAAAGATGTATTGTAAATAGAAGGCTCAAGGATGGCTTCAACTCTTTGAGGAAGGGGCACAGTTCATTTTCACATTTTCAACCGTTTTCACTAGAGTTTCAATGGTCATTAGTAAACTTTTAGGACAAAAGGGGGAATGCAAGCCGCATTCCCCCTCCCTCTCTAGATCCGCCGATGAGACTGATAATGGTCAGACTGCCGAGCAAATAAAATATGAGCAGTGCAAAGAGGCAATATTCTAGGGCAGAATATTCAAACATGATATGTATAGTTTGTTTTAAGAACAAAAGTTCATCTCCCTCCACCCGGCTGATGCTGCCGATCAAGACATGGGCGATTCCACCTTGTTCACTTCCATCATGCATCTTACACTTAGTCCAACAGGAATTGTTTTCCTTAACTCTGCCCGACGCCGAGGACTCCGAGGAGACCTGCTTGTTTCCCGCCATTAATCTTTATTATTTAGTGCCTGACCAACCATCGATAATGGTGCCTCACATTCTGTTGATCTTGCACATGTCAATTCCTTCACATTTTGATACCCAAACACACGCTCTGCCGTTGTTCAGCTAAATCATTCAACACTTACTTGGTGAAGATGTGCCTTTTTTTCACACCGCATGATTATAACACTGGGCGCTTTTCATATTTTAGTTACTGATCCAAGAAACTGAGGTCCTGGCTCTACTTCTAGGTCAACTGGGACATTTTAAGGGTCCACACTTATATATCACATATGCTGTGTGCTCCTCACTAACGGCTGGTAACCATCACGGTGTGTTCCAGGTGGAGGAGATTATCATGCGAGATCCCGCGAGAGTCCACGAGATCCCGCGAGATCCCACCGGATGGGACGCCAGGTGGAGGAGATGATCATGCAGAATGAACGATGCCGACAAAGGTGACATTGCAAACATGGTGTCATGGCGCGACAAATGGTGCATTAACATCGCCGTTCGTATCCGTTTCAAAGTGTCCTACTGTCCTGAAATTGATTTAACTATACCTTTAGCTCCTTCTTCAAAAATAAAATAGATTCAGTAACGCGGAAGTACCACGCCATGCACGTATAACATGGAGTTTACAACATCTCACATTGAGTGTCCATTACTCTGCAAGCTGGCTACATCAGTTTGTAGACCAGGGTGGCAAGGAAACTACTCCTGCGGCAGTGGCGGAACACCTTGACCACTTACCCAGCAAAGTGCGAAGTTCTGAGACGACTGAAGTGCGAAGCTAATGTATCCTGGCGGAGGCCGTGCTGCGAACTGCGGTGTTCGTGGGAGGTGCTTTGTGGTTCTGAGGCCAGTGTTTGGTCCTACAGTCACAATCCCTTTTCACTTAGTGTTCACTGTTTGGGTTAGGGCATGCAGCAGTGCGGAATACCTCGAGTGATAAGTACTGTAAGTAAGGTTCCGATGGAGCTCTCCAGATTCTGGTATCACCGCTGGAGTTATCGCAGCAAGTATGGGCTTCACATATTGTACCCATGTGGGAATCGAACCCTGGTCTTCGGCGTGATATATGCATGCAGAGTATATATATATATATATATATATATATATATATATATATATATATATACATATAGATATAGATATATACGGCATGCATGCATAGTGTGTATATTTATGCTATATATGCAGCATGTATGCATGCAGAGTGTATATATATGCAGTATGTATGCATGCAGAGTATTTATTTATGGGGCATGTATGTATGCAGAGTGTGTATATATATATATATCCATGCAGGGTGTATATATATGCAGTATGTATGCAAGCAGAGTATTTATACATGAGGCATGTATGTATGCAGATTGTATATATATATATATATATGGTATATATGCAGCATGTATGCATGCAGGGTGTATATATATGCAATATGTATGCATGGAGAGTATATATATGCCGCATGCAAGCAGTGTATACTTATGCTATATATGCAGTATGTATGCATGCAGAGTGTGTGTATGTATGTATATGCAGCATGTATGCATGCAGAGTGTGTGTGTGTGTGTGTATATATATATATATATATATATATATATATATATATGTTGGCGTACTTCTCATTGGTCCTTAGTTTTGCTCTGGATGCCACTTCGATATCATTGAACTGAAACATGAAACACCCTTGTAAGAGACGTCAAACATTAAACATGTTATACAGTGAGCACGGGTCTATATACAACTGTGTATATATCACTTGTCTGTTTCTGCTATTCTCAGATATATCAAACATTAACAGGAGCAAATCCCTAAACACAGCTGGTCCATATTAAAGCGGGTAACATTCCCTTACGTGTCCCCCGCCATCATATTGCTGGAATATTGTTACAAGCGGCGTTAAACCATACTTACTCACTCACAAACACTGCTGTGTCCTGTAACTGAAATGGCTGACCATTGATGTAACCAAGTCGACGTATGGAGTTTACAATCTATCTACTGATTCCTGATGTACCCAGTCGCTATACATTTATGGTGTAGTTTCATTAGCAATCCTAGGTGGTTCAACAATTGGTTGTCAATCAATTAACATCGATTCAAAGGATGTTCTCTATTACAGGACTATTAATAAACGTACCTGTAATATTTCATATCTATATCCACTTGAATCCAGGTATAGAATAGTTTATGTTTTTTATGAACAATCTTGTATTTCAGTGTATTTAGACCATCTTCTTCCAGACGTTTCTCCGCCGTCTCAAGCATGGCAAGCCTGTAGTAAATGAATGTTATACTGAAGGAAAGTGAGATAGAACACGGCAACGCTTGAGTCTCAATAGTGACTCAAAGTCAGAGGTAAACAATGCACAAATAGTTGCTATTCACCCAGCGTCAGCAAAGATCATTCATCCTGTAGTCGGGATTAAGTAATTGTCTGGGATGAACAATGATAAATAGTCGGGATTTACGTCATTCTTTAGGATGAACAATGATAAAAGGTTGGGATTTATGTCATTGTCTGGGATGAACAATAATAAATGGTTGGGATTATGTCATTATCTGGGATGAACAATAATAAATAGTGGGGTTTTGTCATTGTCTGGGATGAACCATGATAAATAGTTGGGATTTATGTCATTGTATGGGATGAACAATAATAAATAGTTGGGATTTGTCATTGTTTAGGATGAACAATGGTAAATAGTCGGGATTTATGTCATTATCTGGGATGAACAATAATAAATAGTGGGGTTTTGTCATTGTCTAGGATGAACAATGATAAATAGTTGGGTTTTATGTCATTGTATGGGATGAACAATAATAAATAGTCGGGATTAAATCATTGTTGGGATAATCAATAATGAATAGTCGGCATAAACTCATTGTTTGGGATAATCAATAATTAATAGTCGGAATAAAGTCATTTTCTTGGATGAACAATAACAAATAGTCGGAATTTAAGTCATTTTCTAGGATCAACTTGCTTCTTGTTTGAAGGAGTAACACGAAGCATTATCATCGTTTCATATTTCAGTGTGGATTGTACTTACCGAGTGGCGCTTACAGGGTTCCCTATATCCACCGTGTGTTTGTACCTACCGAGTGGCGCTTACAGGGTTCCCTATATCCTCCGTGTGGTTGTACTTACCGAGAGGCGCTTATAGGGTTCCCTATATCCTCCGTGTGTTTGTACTTACCGAGAGGCGCTTATAGGGTTCCCTATATCCTCCGTGTGTTTGTACTTACCGAGTGGCGCTTATAGGGTTCCCTATATCCACCGTGTGTTTGTACTTAGAGGGTTCCCTATATCCTCCGTGTGGTTGTACTTACCGAGTGGCGCTTACAGGGTTCCCTTTATCCTCCGTGTGTTTGTACTTAGAGGGTTCCCTATATCCACCGTGTGTTTGTACTTACCGAGTGGCGCTTACAGGGTTCCCTATATCCACTGTGTGTTTGTACTTACAGGGTTCCCTATATCCTACGTGTGTTTGTACTTAGAGGGTTCCCTATATCCACCGTGTGTTTGTACTTACCGAGTGGCGCTTACAGGGTTCCCTATATCCTCCGTGTGGTTGTACATACCGAGCGGCGCTTACAGGGTTCCCTATATCCTCCGTGTGTTTGTACTTACCGAGTGGCGCTTATAGGGTTCCCTATATCCTCCGTGTGTTTGTACTTACAGGGTTCCCTATATCCAAAGTGTGTTTGTACTTAGAGGGTTCCCTATATATCCTCCGTGTGTTTGCAATTACCGTTTGGCACTTACAGGGTTCCCTATATCCTCCGTGTGTTTGTACTTACCGTTTGGCACTTACAGGGTTCCCTATATCCTCCGTGTGGTTGTACTTACCGAGTGGCGCTTACAGGGTTCCCTATATCCTACGTGTGTTTGTACTTAGAGAGTTCCCTATATCCACTGCGTGTTTGTACTTACAAGGTTCCCTATATCCTCCGTGTGTTTGTACTTACCGTTTCGCGCTTACAGGGTTCCCTATATCCTCCGTGTGGTTGTACTTACCGAGTGGCGCTTACAGGGTTCCCTATACCCTCCGTGTGTTTGTACTTAGTGGGTTCCCTATATCCACTGTGTGTTTGTACTTACAGGGTTCCCTATATCCTCCGTGTGTTTGTACTTACCGTTTGGCGCTTACAGGGCTCCCTATATCCTCATTGTGGTTGTACTTACCGAGTGGCGCTTACAGGGTTCCCTATACCCTCCGTGTGTTTGTACTTAGTGGGTTCCCTATATCCACTGTGTGTTTGTACTTACAGGGTTCCCTATATCCTCCGTGTGGTTGTACTTACCGTTTGGCACTTACAGGGTTCCCTATATCCTCCATGTGGTTGTACTTACCGAGTGGCGCTTACAGGGTTCCCTATACCCTCCGTGTGTTTGTACTTAGTGGGTTCCCTATATCCACTGTGTGTTTGTACTTACAGGGTTCCCTATATCCTCCGTGTGTTTGTACATACCGAGTGGCGCTTACAGGGTTCCCTACATCCTCCGTGTGTTTGTACTTACCGAGAGGCGCTTACAGGGTTCCCTACATCCTCCGTGTGTTTGTACTTACCGAGTGGCGCTTACAGGGTTCCCTATATCCTCCGTGTGTTTGTACTTACCGTTTGGCGCTTACAGGGTTCCCTATATCCTCCATGTGTTTGTACTTACCGTTTGGCGCTTACAGGGTTCCCTACATCCTCCGTGTGTTTGTACTTACCGAGGGGCGCTTACAGGGTTCCCTATATCCTCCGTGTGTTTGTACTTAGAGGGTTCCCTATATCCACTGTGTGTTTGTACTTACAGGGTTCCCTATATCCTCCGTGTGTTTGTACTTACCGAGTGGCGCTTACAGGGTTCCCTATATCCTCCGTGTGGTTGTACATACCGAGTGGCGCTTACAGGGTTCCCTATATCCTCCGCGTGGTTGTACTTACCGTTTGGCGCTTACAGGGTTCCCTATATCCTCCGTGTGGTTGTACTAACCGAGTGGCGCTTACAGGGTTCCCTATATCCTACGTGTGTTTGTACTTAGAACGTTCTCTATATCCACCGTGTGTTTGTACTTACCGAGTGGCGCTTACAGGGTTCCCTATATCCTCCGTGTGGTTGTACTTACCGTTTGGCACTTACAGGGTTCCCTATATCCTCCATGTGGTTGTACTTACCGAGTGGCGCTTACAGGGTTCCCTATACCCTCCGTGTGTTTGTACTTAGTGGGTTCCCTATATCCACTGTGTGTTTGTACTTACAGGGTTCCCTATATCCTCCGTGTGTTTGTACTTACCGAGTGGCGCTTACAGGGTTCCCTACATCCTCCGTGTGTTTGTACTTTCTACCGAGAGGCGCTTACAGGGTTCCCTACATCCTCCGTGTGTTTGTACTTACCGAGTGGCGCTTACAGGGTTCCCTATATCCTCTGTGTGTTTGTACTTACCGTTTGGCGCTTACAGGGTTCCCTATATCCTCCATGTGTTTGTACTTCTACCGTTTGGCGCTTACAGGGTTCCCTACATCCTCCGTGTGTTTGTACTTACCGAGAGGGCGCTTACAGGGTTCCCTATATCCTCCGTGTGTTTGTACTTAGAGGGTTCCCTATATCCACTGTGTGTTTGTACTTACAGGGTTCCCTATATCCTCCGTGTGTTTGTACTTACCGAGTGGCGCTTACAGGGTTCCCTATATCCTCCGTGTGGTTGTACATACCGAGTGGCGCTTACAGGGTTCCCTGTATCCTCCGCGTGGTTGTACTTACCGTTTGGCGCTTACAGGGTTCCCTATATCCTCCGTGTGGTTGTACTTACCGAGTGGCGCTTACAGGGTTCCCTATATCCTCCGTGTGTTTGTACTTAGAGAGTTCCCTATATCCACTGTGTGTTTGTACTTACAAGGTTCCCTATATCCTCCGTGTGTTTGTACTTACCGTTTGGCGCTTACAGGGTTCCCTATATCCTCCGTGTGGTTGTACTTACCGAGTGGCGCTTACAGGGTTCCCTATACCCTCCGTGTGTTTGTACTTAGTGGGTTCCCTATATCCACTGTGTGTTTGTACTTACAGGGTTCCCTATATCCTCCATGTGTGTTTGTGTACTTACCGTTCGGCGCTTACAGGGTTCCCTATATCCTCCGTGTGTTTGTACTTACCAAGTGGCGCTTTACAGGGTTCCCTATACCCTCCGTGTGTTTGTACTTAGAAGGTTCCCCTATATCCTCCGTGTGGTTGTACTAACCGTTTGGCACTTACAGGGTTCCCTATATCCTCCATGTGGTTGTACTTACCGAGTGGCGCTTACAGGGTTCCCTATACCCTCCGTGTGTTTGTACTTAGAGAGTTCTCTATATCCACTGTGTGTTTGTACAAGGTTCCCTATATCCTCCGTGTGTTTGTACTTACCGAGTGGCGCTTACAGGGTTCCCTATATCCTCCGTGTGGTTGTACTTACTGTTTGGCGCTTACAGGGTTCCCTATATCCTCCGTGTGTTTGTACTTACCGAGTGGCGCTTACAGGGTTCCCTATATCCTCCGTGTGTTTGTACTTACCGAGAGGTGCTTACAGGGTTCCCTATATCCACCGTGTGTTTGTACTTACTTACAGGCGCTTACAGGGTCCCTATATCCTCCGTGTGTTTGTACTTACCGTTTGGCGCTTACAGGGTTCCCTATATCCTCCGTGTGGTTTGTACTTTACCGAGTGGCGCTTACAGGGTTCCCTATACCCTCCGTGTGTTTGTACTTAGTGGGTTCCCTATATCCACTGTGTGTTTGTACTTACAGGGTTCCCTATATCCTCCGTGTGTTTGTACTTACCGTTTGGCGCTTACAGGGTTCCCTATATCCTCCGTGTGGTTGTACTTACCGAGTGGCGCTTACAGGGTTCCCTATACCCTCCGTGTGTTTGTACTTAGTGGGTTCCCTATATCCACCGTGTGTTTGTACTTACCGAGTGGCGCTTACAGGGTTCCCTATATCCTCCGTGTGTTTGTACTTACCGTTTGGCGCTTACAGGGTTCCCTATATCCTCCATGTGGTTGTACTTACCGAGTGGCGCTTACAGGGTTCCCTATACCCTCCGTGTGTTTGTACTTAGAGTGGCGCTACAGGGTTCCCTATATCCACTGTGTGTTTGTACTTACAGGGTTCCCTATATCCTCCGTGTGTTTGTACTTACCGAGTTTGGCGCTTACAGGGTTCCCTATATCCTCCGTGTGTGTTGTACTTACCGAGTGGCGCTTACAGGGTTCCCTATATCCTCCGTGTGTTTGTACTTACAGGG